CAGCATTGTTATTATTGGTTTCTTCCGGGCCTCTACAATTGATGCATTGAAAGATTCAAATATACCATTTTCCACGGCATCACAACAGCTCTCAGGTTCAAAGAATGCCCTACACCATGTGTTTGGGTCTCTTTCTACCAGGTGCTCATAAGCTTCTATGGACATTGTATGAATTTCCCTAATGTATGAGCGGAAAGTGGATTCGGTTGTAGCCTTTGCATCCCTCCAAAATAACCTCGTAAACTCAACACCCGTGAACCCCTTCTTCTTAAAGTTCGCAAAGATGTGTCGGCCACAATTCCTATGCTCACATGATGGTGCCCATTCCTTAACAGCCTCCATCAAACCCTACAAAGTGATAAAAAGTTTCATCTGTAAAGTACAAAATAATACATAATGTAGTAAGTAAAAAGAAAACGAAAACACACCTTGTGTTGGTCCGAAATAATTGTAAGACCCCAAGTATCTCCCATCTCAATGTCCTCAAGTATAAGATCAATGAACCACATCCAAGTTTCCTGGTTTTCAACTAGCACAACAGCCCATGCTAGAGGGCACATTTAGTTGTTTGCGTCCCTACAAACGGCTGTTAACAACTTACCTCTGCAATTACCCTTCAAAAAACAACCATCAACACCGATAACCCTTCTACATCCTTCAATCCAGCCCTCCTTGGCAGACTTCAGGCAAACATACATCCTTTTGAAGTAGTATGTAGCATCAGGCATATGATTTGTCTCGATGAAGACTGTTAACCCAGGATTAACCCTCAATAACTCAACACCATAATTCCACAGTTTCTCATAATGGCTTACCAAATTGCTTGAAATCTCATCTAGTGCAAAGTACTTGGCATTTCTACACTGCCCAAGACTTACCTTGAGACCAAAGTCTTTCCTAACCACTTCTACCATTTTCCTATAGCTAAACTGAGGCCTTTCCAAAATGTCAGGTATTAACATTTTTCCAATCCACTTATACATAACAAGACACCCCAATTTTTTTGTCTAACACAATTATATTATCAATTAGTGACTTGATATGGAATGATTTTTCCTTGTTCATGGGACTAGCCCTTAGTCTAAAAGGGCAAGATGGCTTCCCTTTTTCATTTTTATTGCACCTTACTAACAATGTTGTTGCCTCATTTTTTTCATACCACAAAGCATAACCCTTTGACACAACATAATTTGTTAACATGTGTTTCAGTTCATCTCAATCAGAGAATCTCATACCTAACTCAGGCATCATATTATCCCATTTTTGGTTAGGATCGTGAATAGGATGTTTTTTACCTTATCACCAGCTTCGTCCTCTATGCCTCTTTTTAGAATAAGATTCTTACGAGACAAAAAAGGATCAACAACTTCAGGCCACTGAATGTCCTCATCATCAGCTTCATGGTCCATCAATAGATCATCCGACAATATTGAGTTCAATCGTCTTCATATGTTTCAGTACCACTGTCCCATTCTTCAGCTTTCTCTTCTTCAATCCAATCTAGTAAGGGTTCATGATAGTCATCAATGTAGACAATGATTTGATTATCATCATCAAATCCATCATCAAGGAACCTACCATAATCATCTTCATCTCTGAGCTCCCTTAACCCATCTACAAGGGACCGATTTTTAAGACAATAATACATATCCTAACATCTATTTTTGAACAATTTTTGGAGATAGATCTTGAACTCCTTGAAATCCATATTACGTACATCTAGCCCATAACATGTAATTTATCAGGATGGAAGTAAACAAAGGGATTAGGATAAAAAACACCTTTATGGTAGACATCAATGTCGAGTGAGTAATGAGACATGCTTGCTGCACAATTGACGAACTCTCCTTCACCTTCTGTAAAAATCAATTTCACCATCACTTCTGTAGATTTCACCGTTGTGTAAGAACCCTAGATATCGATTTCACCCTTCACTGAAAACCCTAGATGGTGAAATGAAATCCCTTGTGGCATTTATGTTTCCACCTAATTTTTTTTAATAATCCATGTCATATTTACCCTTTGATCAACGGTAAACAGAGAACGTAACCCACAGATGCCGATCAATTTTTAAAAACCTTAATTTTACTATTAACTTTATTTAGCTTTTTAATAAAAAAAAACATTTATTCATTGGTGTTTCTTGAACAAAAAAAAAAAAAAAAAATAATTAGTGTAATATGGACACTTTTGAAACTTAATTGGTGTTTTAAATTATTTTCCCCTATCAGTAACTAGCAACCATTCAAAGAGCCTGTCAAGTTTTTTAATTTATCCCACAAAATGGAACACTCATTCTCATCTACAGGGGCGTATACATTTACAATATTGGTAATACCATTCATTCCATTCCAGTTCCCAAAAACAAGAATTAAATTGGAATCTTTAATAATATTAAAATTCTTGAAAATGTTGGGCTTCCATATACAAAAAAAAACACCCGACCTGCCCTGTGATTCAACTGTAGCACTTTCAAAATCTGAATTATCCCAATAAAAGTCAAATGAAATATCTGCCACGTTTTTAAGTCGTGTCTCTTGAGTACTAAGGAAATTAACCTGATGCAACGTCTTCAACCCCTTAATCCAGTCTGCTTTGTGCAGACCTCCAACTCCCCTTAGATTAATTGAGAGACAATTCATTGTAACATAACTTTCTCTCCTTCTTCAATAATTGACAATAAGAGTTGTCTCGTTCCTTCCATGTCAAAACCCACATCATTTCCTAATTTCCTTGTCATATCAGCTTCTAAAGGCGTTGAATTTAAAGAATTAACCGGACTTAACTAACCTTTTTTGCTACTACTACTCGGTCCTCTACTTTCCATTCTACTTAAACGACATCTTTTGATGTTGGAAGATATAATAAAATCTTTCAACTTTATTGATGGAAATATTTTTTTGGAATGGCTTTTACTCCTCTTTAGAGTATCCTATTGAATTGAATTGGAATGCCCTGACTTTAAAATCCCTAAAACAGACGTCTCCATACTCTTGTCTAGATCAGGTATTGTGTTATAATTATGATGCGAACCACTAAAGTCCTCCATCCTATTTTCAAACGGATCATTGATATGAGAGGCCCCAAAAAACCTTTTCAATAATCAGTCCAATTTTTACCACATGGCCCAAATTAGACATACCGTCCATATTACCATTTACCTCCATGGACCCCACATCTTCTTCACATAAGTTATTCTCCAAGGAAAATGCGAATTCAGGTAACGAAGCGTCTCTAGCATTAAATTCCCCTTTCTCATTCCCTAGGTTATTCACTAAAGACACCTCCTTCATCTGATCGCTGATCACCGGCGATTGAAACCCATCTCCTTTCTCATTATCATCTCTATGATCCTTATTCTCACCGGTTAAACCATTTTTTTCGTCATCATAATAATCTGAGTCATCCTCTGAGTCTTTCTTACATTCTAGGAGGTCTCCATTCATCACAATCTTCCTGAATTCTAACATAGAATGAGTATCCCTTCCAACAAACATTCAAACATTAATTAATAATACAGTCTTGTCGTGACGGAATACACATTCTGCCATAAGAGATATTCTTCACATCTTTTGAACAATTAACCGGAATAAGAATTCTACCAAATCTCTGAGCGATACAGTCAAAGAAAGTAGAATCCCATAGATGAATTGGCATACCACTGATTTTTATCCAAACGATTCTGTGTAGCTGAAAAAAGAATCATCCATGCAAACCACTTCTTTCAACCTTCATCATGATCTTTTAGAAACACTTCAGCTACACTCTTCCTTCCAAAATCTAAAAGGACATTTAAACAGCCTAAGTATTTTAACGAGTAATCCAAAAGCCCCCGAGGCTCTAAAATTACTGAAGAACTTAGACAACATTTCAATGTCCTTTGCTTCACCCAGCAAGCAAACTGCGAGCCAAGAATAGGAATGCGGAATCAAAGAATCTAGAATCGTAAGCTTGTGCATATTGGGCTCATTATATGCATTCATCTTCGTTTCCTCTTCCAAATTTACCTAAATGCATACCAGAAAGCACATCAGTATAATATCTAGAGCCTCTGACCACCGGTACAAAATTTGTATTGAAAAAAACAGGTTTAACTCGTCTAAGTCCTTGCTTATTCTCAACTGCCAAAAGCTTTCTTCTTTTGAACTTTGAAACATTGGCCATCAACTTCTTTCCACCTAACCGAATCCCGTTCATCTCTCTTTCTAACCTCTCCTCATTCTCCACTTTGATAAATCTCACAAAGGCAAAACAAAGACCATGACGATCTCTTTTCTGAGCGAGATAAACATCCACAAGACATCCATAGTTCTAAAAAAACTTTCTAGAATCTCACTGCATTCCATTTTTCCGGAATGTTGGCGACAAAGAAAGTTTTTGCAGCTCCTCCAACATCCCTCAAATAACCCCCAATCCAACCTTGATTCGAGATCTTATTTCTTCCCTCTCTCACTTCAGCTCCTCCCTCTCTCCAATTTTTTACATGTATGTATGTCATACAATTTTTAAATGTCATTCCCCGTAAGTTTACACAAATATTGTTTGTTGTAAAGGTTAACGACACATTTAGGTAAGTTATAAATAACGAAAATGACTTGATAGAACAATATACTTTTTGAAATGTACACAATATGGTTTTTGAAATGTACACATTTAGTCCTTGTTCTTTTTTTTTTGTAAAATAAACCCTTATATTTTATTAATATGTACACATTAGGTCCTTTTCACCGGATTCTACAAGTTTTGCTGACGTGGAAGGATTTATTTTACAAAAGTAAATAAATAAATAAGGACTAAATGTGTACATTTCAAAAAGTATCTTACCCTATCAAGTCATTTTCCCTTTCTTTTATTTTGTTGAAATGAAATACCCAGGTCGCATCCACATATCCACAACGAGATTTTTCCAACTTTTATTCATCATGAAAAAAAAAGAAGGAGAACCTCGATCTCCAGTGACTTCTTTTTATGTTCCTACACGTCACTGGTAGCAAGGAGGAATGATGACAAAAACAACAAGGTCGAAGGGGGAGGCAAGAGGAAGTAGTGACGGTAGTTGGCGGCGAGGAGCTGCTCTAGTAGCACCCTCGTTGGTTCTTTCTTCTTTTTCTAGCAACATATCTCAAAGATGGAGGCAAAGAGAGATAGATCGAAGAAACACAACAGGTAAAGGGTGTTTGGCTGTTGCTATTCGACCCGGAAGGAAGAGAGACGAGAAAGAGAAAGGTCGCCGCCCTTTTCTTACTGCTAGAGGATCACTCACCTCCGATGGGAGGTGCTTCCAGATAGAAAATGGAGAAGGAATGAGGATAGCATCAACAATGATTTTTAGGGATGTTGTGGATGGTGTATCACGACTAGAGAAGAAGACATGGGGTGTTTTGCCCCTTTGCTCACTAAAAAAAGCAACACAGCTAAGGTGTGTTCTTGGCAGCAATCAAACACAGAAGAAAGAATAACTGAATGCAACAAATATATGATCTTGTGAAGACTTTTGGTTTGATCTTTTGTACAATATGATTTGTGAAAGATTGAAGAAGTACATGACAAAACAGGTAGAATCTGGTGACTAAGCTAATTAATTGATATTTAGTGCCACTTGTGCTTCCACATCAGCAAAACCTATAAAATCCGGTGAAAAGGACCCAATGTGTACATATTAATAAAATATAAGGGTTTATTTTACAAAAAAAAAAAAAGAATAAAGACTAAATTTGTACAATTCAAAAATTATTTTACCCTATCAAGTCATTTTCCTTAAAAGAAAATTCGTAAAAGACCGGTATACTGGATATAACCGGTCACAAGGATTGCATTGTTACAAAAAATTTCGTAAAAGGGTTTATTTTACGAAAAAAAAAAAAGAATAAGAACTAAATGTGTACATTTCAGAAAATATATTACCCTATCAAATCATTTTCCCTTATAAATATTTTCCCTTGAAGTTTGTCTCATACATCTTTATACATATACGAACAAATTTTTAGAAATAGAAAGTGAAGTCGTTGTATAAAAAATTCTTAAGATCATATATATATATATATATACACACACACACGAGTAAATTAAATAAATGGTCACTATGGTTTGGTATAATTCGTAGTTTTGGTCCCTAAGTTTCAAATTTGATAGGTTACATATCTATTGTTTGTGAATATTGCACTTCAGATCTTTGCTCCAAATAAAAAGACCAAATTACCTTTTATTTCTTTTTTCTTTGTCTTTTAGCAATTTATTTTATATATATATATATATATATATATATATATATATATATATATATATATATATATATATATATATATATATTAGATTGAATAGTTTGACTTTGTTTTTCTTTCATAAATTTTTATACGATAATAAAAAATTATTTAGGCAATACATGAATAATCACTAACATATAAATGAATGATGTCATTAAAAAAATACATAAAACCTCTTAAATCTAAATAAAAAAACAAACACCAACATATAAGTGGATGATATAAAAAAATACCTAAAATCAAAATTAAATAATTATATTAGACGATTTATAGTTATCAGTTTATTATTTTAATTTGTTTATTTAAACAAAATGTAAAAAAAAATATTTTTATATAATGTAAATAAGCAAAACGTTAAAAAACAACATTAAATAATATATTCAAATAATATTTCAAGAATTTCAAGGTTATTATTTTAATTTGTCTATTCGAACAAAAACTGAAAAACTTATTTTGTAATGTAAACAAACAAGCGTTAAAAAAACAACATCAAATAATATATTAAAAAATCATTAAAAATATTAAAATATTTTTAAATCAACAAAAGAAAGATAAATAAATAAATCTAAAAATAAATAATAATTTGATTTTATATAACTTAGACAATTGATTTAAAAAAGTAAAATAATTTAAATAATCTTTATTAATTCTATTAACATAAAGATCAAATAAAATAATATATATATAATAATAATAATAATAATAATAATAATTTGTTAAAAGAAGAAGACAAAAGAAAAAAAAGAAAGTAATTTGGTCTTTCTAAATAGAGCAAGGACATATATTGCAATATTCACAAACCACATGGATGTAACCTATCAAATTTTAAACTTTGTGATTAAAAATGAGAATTCGACCGGACCATAGGAACCATATTATATATATTATAATATATATATATATATATTATATATATATATATATATATATATATATATATATAAATGGTTCCTATGGTCCGGTCGAATTCTCATTTTTAATCACAAATATATATATATATATATATATATATATATATATATATATATATATATATATATGAATGAATGACACAAATAATTTGTTCATTTGTAAAAGTGAATACCTATAACTAGTTACATAGAGATATGAAAATTAAGATTTGCACTATAAATATCATTCTATTGTAAAGAATGTGACACACTATTTGAAAACACTTTACAAGTGATCAAATTCTCTCCAAATCTTTCTTTCTTCTTTCTTAAAGTTTTGTTTAGTATTGTTAATCTTGTTTCAATTACATTAAATTTATAACACGTTATTAGCATGAAAAACTTAATCCAGGTTATTAAACAAGTGGACATTACATCTATCTTAATCATGTTTAATATGAGTCCAAATGGAGCACAATACCAATAAAAGGTTAGAGATATTTGCATAGTAGATAGTTGTAGTATGCATACTATTTTTGGACCCAAAGAAATATTTTTCAAAATTAGTACCAACAAAACCAATCATACATACAATATCAGGTCTTGCAGGCTTGATAGAGGGAACTGGAAAAGCTCATTTTATATTACCAAATAGCACAAGATTTTGTATAGAAAATGTCTTATTTTCTCCAAAGTCTAATAGAAAATTACTAAGTTTCAGTGACATATATTTCAAAGAATATGACACAAAAACTGTGACCATTGAAAATAAGAAATATATGTATATTTTAGACAAAAACCATGTGCTTGAAAAACTACCAGCACTTAATTTTGGTCTGCACTATAAATGTACATCTTGTTCCCTTGGAAAGTTAATTATAAAACATTTTCCAATGAAAGTTTAAAGAGAGTCACCTAAAGTGATATATGTGGACTGGTTCATCCACCATCTAGACCATTTAGATACTTTATGGTATTAATAGATGCATCCAACAAATGGTCTCATGTTTGCCTATTATCAACTCATAATATGGAATTTGCAATGTTTTTGCTCAAATTATTAAATTTAGGACACATTTCCATGATCATACTATCAAAAGAGTGAGACTTGATAATGCTGGTGATTTTACTTCACAAGCATTTAATGATTATTCTATGTCTGTAGGAATTATTGTTGAGCATCCATTTGCTCATATACACACACAAAATGGTTTAATTGAATCATTGATTAAACGTCTCCAGCTAATAACTAGATCATTGATAACGAGGACCAAACTTCATGTTGCTATTTGGGGCCATGCAATCTTACATACTGGATCATTGATACGCATGAGACCATGTTCATATCATGTATATTCTCCCTTAAAAAACTTGCTTTGGTTAAGAGCCAAATATATACCATTTGAGAATTTTCGGGTGTGCAGTATATGTCCCCATTGCACCACCACAACGGAAAAGAATGAGTCCTCAAAGAAGGTTGGGAATATATGTTGATTATGAGTCAGTCTCTATTATAAGATATCTTTAACCATTAACACGTGATGTTTTTACAGCACGTTTAGCTGATTGCCAATTTGATGAGGCAAATTTCTCATCATTAGGGGAGAAAAGAAGATTAAAGAAAAGGATGTTTGATGACATGAATCTTCTTTATCATATCTTGACCCTCGCACATAGCAATGTAAAATGGAAGTTCAAAAGACAATGCATATCCAAGAAATGGCAAATCAATTACCTAATGCATTTACTAGAGAAACACAAATTATCAAAATTCCCCCAGGAAAGGAGGATGATGCACTAAATTATGGTCAAACGAATAGAATATGCGACTAAAATGAAACTGACAATATAAGTGCAATATTTTCTTATTCAGTTGCATGTGATATTATGAATGATGATCCCGAACCACAATCTGTCATTAAATGTCAAAGAAGAAACGATTGGATGAAATGGAAGGAGACTACGCAATTTGAGTTAAATTCTCTTAACAAGAGAAAGGTCTTTGGGACCATTATCCTCACACGTGGAATTGTGAAACCATTATGGTATAGATGGATATTTGTATGAAAGAGAAATAAGAAAGATGAAATTGTAAGATACAAGGCCATGTTTGTTGATTACGATGAGTCTTATTCACCGGTAATGGATGCAACCACTTTTAGATATTTAATAAGCTTGACAATCTCTAAATTTTAGAGATGTGTCTTATGGATGTTGTTACAACTTACTTGTATGGATCACTTGATAGTGATATCTATATGAAAATCCCTGAAGGATTTAAAATGTCTGAAGCATTAAGTGCAACACCCAAAGAAATGTATTCTATAAAACTAAAAAGATCTTTGTATGAGTTAAAGCAATACATGTGCATGTGATACAATCATTTAGGCGATTATTTGACAAGTAAAGGTTATAAAAATAACGCTATTTGTCCATGCATATTTATTAAGAAAACAACATCTGGATATGTGATCATGGTTGTCTATGTTGATGATCTAAACATTATTGGAACAAATAAAGAAATCCTTGAAGTGATTGAACTTTTGAAGAAAGAATTTGAAATAAAAGACCTTGGAAAAACCAAATATTGTCTTCGTTTACAAATTAAGCATATGCCTAACGGAATACTTGTTCATCAATCAAATTACACAAAAAGTGACTTGAGACATTTCAATATGGAAAATGCCAACCCTTCAAGCACTCCAATGGATGTTAGAGCATTAAATATTAATAATGATTCATTTAGTCAATGCGAAGAAAATGAGGAAGTTGTTGGTCCAGAAGTACCATATCTTAATGCAATTGGAGGTCTTATGTATCTTACCAGTTGTACTAGACTTGACATTTCTTTCACTGTAAACTTGCTAGCAAGGTTCAGTTCATCCCCAACAAAAAGACATTGGAATGGGATTAAGCATATTTTTCGATACCTTCGAGGAACTAGGGATTTAGGTACTAGGGTTATTTTATCCTACCAATTCAAAACAAGGCTTGATTGGTTATGCAGATGTAGGTATTGTAATTTCCTGGCGTTCTCAAAAGCAAACACTTGTTGCCATATCCTCAAATCATGCAGAAATAATTGCATTAAATTAAGCTAGTAGAGAATCTACATGGTTAAGATCGATGACACAACTGGTTTCAACTTCATGTGGAATTGAAAAGGATATTGGTCCAATTATAATCTATGAAGATAACTGTGACATCTCCATTTTTCACGGTCAGAAAAGACTGATTTTGTTTATGCTTTTAAAAATCAGAGTACCTCTTTTAATAAAAATGTTGCGGAATTTGTTCCTAGTAAAA